CCTTCCCCTCACACACGCGCACCCCGCCGCCTCAGCGCTGTGAGGCGGGCCGGGGGCTGCTCCGCCGGGGCTGCGAACGGCCGGGGGGAGCGGGAACCCCCCCCACCGGGAGGGGGGGAGACAAGCCGAGCCGGCCGGAGGCCCCAAAATGTCAGTCCCTGCCGAGATTTGTTGTGTGTGCCCTCCCCGCCAGAGGATGGGCGGTGGGAGGGCTGGGCTCGCCGCCGCTGTGATCTTTATCTGGGAGAGCCCTGAGGTGATGGAAACTTAGAAACGTTGAATTTTACTCACCGACTTTAAGAAACGTTGAATTTTACTCATCGATTTGTAGAAGCACGGAGCTGAATTTGCAAAAACACGCAAGCCTCTGAGTACGGGGAGCTGGCAACAAATATTTCGCTGAGGTGCGGAAGAATGGATTGTGAGGGGGAAAGTGTTGGGGCTTGTCCCCAGCCGTGCCTCTCTGCGTGGAGGCTTTGGCCCCACCGCGCAGCAAGCCTACCTGTGGCACGCCAAGCCGCAGCACCGTCTCCCTGAAGGAGTAGTGCAGAGAGCCCATCCTGTGCCGCTCACCATCATCGAAACAGGCTGTTCAGTTACTTCTGCTGGTAGGTCTTACCATAGGCCAAACCTTTGCCATCCTTCTATAGCCAGTTATCAACCGCTTACAGAAAATTTACCAGAAATGCAGGCACATGTGCGTGCCGTGTGCGATGGAAGCCAAGTGTGTACCGCTGCCCCACCACAGGTCTCGCCTTGCTGGGGAACAGACATGGCCCTAGAAACTGGGCTCAGGCATGACTCAATGCTCACATTTTACCAACCCTTCAGTAATTCCCTGAGCGTTTGACCAGTGCCATCTTGTGGCCTTCTTTCTTTTCTTTGCACAGAGCCTGGGGATGAATTTGGGTACTTTTTTTTAATTATTATTATTCTGTTTGAAGAAAAACTTCTGTTGCCAGAATAAGTGGAAGTGGGAGAGTCTGACATTGCACACTTGAAGATGTATAGGTCCTTTCTGGTAGTGGAATCTGAATGTTGCTTAATAAGCCTGACCTAGCTACAACTAGCACTGGCTCTGCCATGGGTAATATTCTTTCTTGTTTCAAAGTAACTTATGTGTTTTCATTGTTTTATCTTGTTTCTGAGCAACAGCTTTCACTTGGCATCAAATACTTCATTTCAGACTTCCAACGAAACAGGAAAAGCCAAGATATTTCACGTGCTTAGTATATTATTTTTTCAAACGAAACTCTCCTTGTCTTACAAGTGTCCTGTTTTCCCGAGAAATGTCTTGTTTCCTAAAAATATCTGGTTTTGTGGCATTTACAAAGATTTTCGCTGTCACTTCTGAAAGACGTGACAAACTTAAACTGCCAAGTTGCTGTACGCATGAGAAAGTGTATGCTCTGCAGAGCCATGTGTCAGAGAAAAAATGTTTAGAAACTGCAAACTTCGTCTACTTTTGTTTCTATTTATTTATGGTAGCAAGGAAAACTTTGTGCAATACGGTATTGTTGTGGACACTACAACAAATGTAGCTGTTGTTGCTACAGCTTGCTACTGTTTCTGAACAGCCTGCAGCTGCCTTCCCCGCCCCAGCGAAACAATCCCAAAAAGGTGCTACTGTGGCTTTTTAAGAATCACAACAGAAGCTCTTGGCAATTTCTCCCCTGAAGAGCTTAAAACCATTTGCAAGTGGCAGCCACCATGGTGTGTCAAAGAAATCGTGTTCAATGGCTGTCCTCTAAGCAGCACTCAACTGGCAGTGAATAGTAGTTACCTGCGAGAGTCAGCAGCTTGGGGGAGCAGGTCCACCTCAGTGCCATGCTTTAATCACTTGGCATTAAGTGGATTTTCTTCCCTGCAGAGCATAAGTGCTCTTGTTAGTATCTCCAGGTTTGCTTGTTTTTAAAAATCTAATGGTTCGTTTGACGCTTGTGGGCACTGAGAAATTTATCATCGATGCTAGCTGTAACGCAAAGTGATACAGAGGGAGGTGATGGCATTTGGGAGAAAAGGAGCACTTGTGCTCAATAAATTTATGAAAGCGTGTTACTGAGGTTCATACTCTGGGCTGCCATTCAGATGGTTTGGGAATTAGGGTTCAGCGTCCTGTGCGACTTGTTATCAAGTGCCAGATGCTTGGAAATTAACACCAACTCGTCAGGAGGTTCTGTAACAAATGTTTAGGTGATGAACTTTGAAGGACGTCTTGCTCGCATCTGCTTAGGGTGGGCGTTTTCACTGTTTGAGATCAGTCATACAACATTTGTCATGTCAGGTTGGGTACATGGAAAGTGCTTTGGCTGAAGGTGATAAAGCACTGTCGACCACCCTAGCAGTACGAAATGGCCTCACTGTACTCTACTAATATGTGTATGGGGTTGCCTTCCTTTTGCATCGTCATCTTCCTAGTGTGCTATTTCAAAACACCCTAGAGTTTTCTGTCCCTGTGGGAAATCACTCCCTTTCTTTGGAGAACCTAGAAAAAAATCAGCACAATGTAGATGAAAACCCTTGGGAGATCCCCTAGAATTGACGGGTTAGCAGGAGGTGTAATATTACCACGCTTGTGCAAATAGCCCTGTTCTGAGGGTGTTTCAAGAACTGACAGGTTTGGGGACCCTGGGGGGGGAGTGTGAACGTACCTCCCCCATTACCACATTTTCAAGTGCACGTTTTGAAGTATGAGATCTCAGCTGCAGGTTATTCTGCCTGTGGCAGTGTGTGGCATGCAGGGGTCTCGAGCTGCCTTCCACTCCTGGCTCTATCTTGCACTCTGCCTTCAGTCACGTCTCAACGTCATTACCCTTCCCGATCTCAGCAAGAACAATTTTCCACTCTGGGAAGAACTTGCTGTATATGAAAGCAGCAGTATTTTATCTTACATTGGTTTCATCAAGCCGTTTCCAGTTAGCGTTTTAGCTTTCTTGCATTAATTTAAAAACAGTCATGATTGTTTGGGTTGTATGTGATGTGCCAGCGCACAACAAGGAAGATTTACTTCAGTTCAGGGGACTTACCTGCAAAGATGGACAAACTTAAATTAGTATAGATTCACATGTTGGTATGACTGTGTGTGTAAATTTAAAGTACGCTTTCCTGTGTACTTGAAATGACCAACAGAAAAGCTGGAGTATTTTCACTTACTGAAAATTCTGCTAAATATTTCCAAAAGTTGTTTGCAGAGGTGACAGTGCATGGAGGCTTTGTAAGAACAGTGCAAGTAGAGTTAACGTTGAACTACGATATTGAGTCTGACAAAACAGTTCAAGTTGACCTTGCTTATGAGACAACAAAAAGCGTCTTAAGGAGAAATAATAATTATCAAAGAGTAAAGAATGGTTTAATTCAAAGGCTGTTTAACGTCCGACAGGTCTGGCAAACATTAATAGAACCCTACCCTAATTCTGTTTGTAGATTGCCTCAACAAGGGGTACTTTCAAAACGTGGTTGGATGTCGTATCTAAGGATATTTATCAGCAAAGGGAAAGGAAGAAGCATACATCTCAATCGTTTTTAAATAAGTAATTTAGTGGTAAAATGAAGTCATGCAATCAAGTCTTTGTAAACGCTAAAAATACAGACTAAAGATGGTTTAAGCGTATAACAACTTTCTGTGCCTTTCTTTGCCCAGTTCTCTGTATTCAGCTTAACACACCCAAGCAGGGAAGTTGTTTTATCCAAAAGAAGTTTGGAAAAAACATCCCCAGGCAATGCTAAACCTCTGACATGAGAGCCTGGGAGAACAGCTCTGGGTCTTTGTCCCATGCTCGGTGACTTTGACCTGCATGATGGGCCAGATCTGGTCTGTCTTCAAGCAAGAGTTCTGTATTGCATGGCCTTTGCACAGAGACCTGGGGGGTGGCTTTTACCTTCTACATTTATAGTTTTCAGTTTGCAGAGGCATGATTGTAACTTGGGCCTAATAGTATCTTAAAATTAAGCTTTATCAGTTAATCTTTTAATCTGTGTGTATTCAACTCTAGCTGCAGTCATTGGGGGAGTCTTACAAACTCTCAAATCCGCACAAAAAGAACAGTTGTCAATGTTTGGATTCATGTATAGTTCCTACTTATATTAGACCTAAAAATGATAATGGTTTCGGAATAGAAGAAGCTTTTTTCTACCACTCTTTGTCTAGTTGAATGTTGTAGTTCAAAGAATTCAATAGGGTAAGCTGTTCCCCTGTGGCTGGTGAAGTCTTTGTTTTCTACATCTTATCTGTGCTATGAAGGTCTGTTGGATGTGCTTTTGCTGTTCATCATATTTTTTTCCAACAGTAGATGGCAATAGCCATTCATTTGTAAAACATGAGAGCAGAACTCGGTGCATTACAGAATTTAATGTGCAAGGAGGATCATTCCTGGGTAGGAATTTAAGTGAAACTATATGTAAAAA